TGGAATGGAATCTGACAGTGGTAGAGATGTGTTGCAAAGGTTATGCCGTAACCCATGGCACACACAGAAAACATGCTACTTCTAATCTGCTATTCCAGAAATGTGGCGCCAAGCTTCTGTTGACAGTTCTAACTTGGGAATCTGCACAGCCCTTCTCACATCAATTTTCGATTGTTTTTTAATCGATTCTTCTTACTCTTCATTACCCACAGAAAAGTTCCTTGAATGTCAATGATTATTTCATGGACACAATCACTATTTAAGTAAAATAACATCATACCATAGGATTCCCAAGAGTCTAATTCAATTTGATGGTAACAATAATGAGCAAAATCTCTAACACATGTTCCAGGTAGGAATTAAGAATAACATGAACACCATACCATTCTCCTAGGGGATGAGTAATCACTTATATTTATTGAATTTTTTCATAAACATACATAAAATAGAATGTGTTATACTTATGCAATTGATTCCTCTGATTGCATATGAGGGTGAAACAGGAAAACAATAACAATAAGTTATTGTTCGGATATAATAAACATTAATGCGCGGGATTTTTATGAGTGAATGACTTCATGATTAAATGTCTTCCTACAGTCTTGTTTTCTTTATATTGAGGCATATTCCATTATGAAGGCTGTAGCATTTGATTCACATTAGTCAGTGGATAAAATCCTCTTTACTTTCAGCAAGCACGATTCTGTCACCTGCAGACTGCAGCTTGTTAATGAATCTTCTTCCAAATGTGATGCTACATCCTACACATAGAGTCTAGCTTCTCAGGTTAGTTATTTGATCGGCTTGCAAGTTGAAGAGGTATGGGGAAATGATAGAACCCTGATACACCAAATTCAAAATTAAACTCACTGTCATTGAGTCAATGCTAACTCATAGTGACCCTATAGGACAGGGTAGAACTACCTGTTTTTTCCAAGACTATAACTCTTTACTGGAGTAGAAAGCCCCATTATTCTCCCTAGGGGCAGCTGGTGCATTTGAACTGCTGCCCTTGCAGTTATCAGCTCAATGAGTAACCACTACGCTACCAAGGCTCTCTGACACATAACTTTCCTTATTTCAAACCACTTTGTCTCTTTGTTCTGGTGGAAGAACTGCCTCTTGATTTACATACAGATTCTATGTGAACACAATTAAATGTTCTGGAATTTTGATTTTTTTATCCAATTATCCTACGTTATCCTATGCAAAAACCTTAGGTGTTTTCGCATATGTGTTTGTGCATATTGGCACTGAAACCAAATCCACTGCTAATGAGTGGATTCAGACTCATAGAGACCGCATAAATTAGAGCACAGATTACTAGGGTTTCTGAAGTTGTAAATCTTTGTTGTCGTTGTTAAGTGCCACTGAGTAGATTCTGACTCACAGTGACCCTATGCACAACAGAATGAAACACAGCCGGTTTCTGCGCCCTCCTCATGATGATGATTACTATTTTATGACATATAATTATTGTTATATTGAGCCCATCCTTGTAGCGACAGTGTCAATTCATCTTATGGAGTGCCTTCCTCTTTTTTACTGCCCCTCTATTTTACCAACTATGATGTCCATCTCCAGGGACTGGTCTCTCCTGTAAATCTATCGGGGAGCCTAAAGTAGCATCCTTTGCACAAGAAGTGACTAGTGAGTTTGAAATGCTGACTTTGAGGCCCAACATCAAATCTACCATAAACAAATAACAAACAACAAAATATACTCAGTTGAAATTGAAAGTAGCAGTCTTTTCAGAAACACCATGTTCTTGCTGATTACATATCTGTATTTGGGCCATTGTTTTTGCTGTTGGGTGCTGTCAAATCAATATTGACTCTGTATGTAATAGAAACCCTATAAACAATAGAATGATACACTGCCTAGTCTTTAACTATCCTCACAATCGTTACATTTAAGCCCATTGTTGCAGCCTTTGTGTTGCAACCACTGTTAGAGTTTAAAAATATTCCTATCATTGAGTCTATTTAGATTCCAAATGACCCTACTGGACACAATATAACTGCCCTGTGGCTTTCTAAGACTGTACATGTCAGTGGATAGAGCACCTCATCTTTGTCCGCAGACTCTGGTGGTTTGGAACTGTAAACCACGATGCTAGCAGGACGCCTAGGGAGGTTTTACCTTATTGTCAGTTAGGGAATGGTGGTAGATATGATTTATGTTGTTGTTTTAGTGGTTTCTTATCTACTTTTATTTACCATCATAGGATGAATTGCTCTGTAGGGTGACATAAAGCTCTCTTTGGCTGTTAGTCTCATGTATGGCTATGGTTTTATGTCACTCTACTGTATCTTTGGTACTCTGGTGTGGTAGTGAAAGTAAGGGTAAGAAAATGTCTGTGTTTTGTACTGGGATCTCCTTCATGATGAATCTCCTCATGGAGTTGAAAATATGATCTCAAGTGGCACATTCAGAAAACAAGAAAGTGAGGTAATAACTACTGTGTATTTGGATTTTAAAAAATATTAAACACGTGTATGTGGGATGATTATGGCCTTGAAGTACTTAGAGGTACTGAAGAGGGTTTAAGGAAAAGATCAGTCACATCAGGGAACATAAACAACAGAATATTTTCCCCCAAGTATTGTTGACCTTTTAAACAAAGAGGACACACATTTTATTAACAGAAAGTTTGTTGTAATTATATATTAAGTAAACAAACAAAATACGTTCAATGAAACTAATTGCAAGGTTTTCTCCCTGGTTTTCTGTTTCCAGGCCTTAGTATAATGTTTTATCTACAAACTGTTAGTAAATATGTGAAAGAATTGATCAACTGTTTGCTCAGCCCTGGTGCTGTCATGGATAATGCCTAGCCTCAAGGTCAGCAGCTATAATTCTCAAGAAAAGATGAGGCTTCTCCTTCCTTGAAGACTTATGATCAAACATGTGGAGAGAAAGAAAAAGAGAGGAAGAGAGAGAGGGCACTAACTTTCAGTATGTGCCAATAAAAATATTGCTACACTTTGTGTTCTTATATCTATTTTTTCCCATTTGAAAAATTTTGGTTTTTGTCTTTTCTAGTTTACAGTGAACCCCTGTCCTTTTGCAAAGGGTCCAGGAAAGGAAGGTCACTTTTCTTTTCTCTTTTGTCTCTCATCCTCCAACAACCTATTCCAACAAAGTTAGCCCATAACAAGAAGTGATCTGCATTGGCAAGACTTAGTCATATGTACTTAAGACATGTTGTCAGGAAGACGAGTCCCAGGACAAGGACATCAAGCTTGGTAAAGTAGTGGGGCATCTCAAAAGAAGAAGGCCTTTGACAAGATAGAATGACGTGGCGGCTACTTCAATGGTCTCAAACATAAGAACAGTTGAGGATGGCACAAGACAGGGCATTATTTCATTTATAGGTATATAGGGTCCATATGACTCAATAGCACCTACCAACAACAACAGACATGAACTTACAAGTCACCGATTTTATTGTGCTACCTATTTCTACACACTTACATAACTCTGGACAGGGATCCGTATTTTGATTGTAAATGCCTATGTTGCTCTTTGTCCATCTTAAGTTTCCTGATAGTTGACATAAAACTAATGCAGATTAACAATTTTTCCTACTGTTCTTCAGTTAATAGCGCCTAAACTAGGCAAATGCCAAGACAGAAAGGAACACTTGAGTCTGAAATATCTCAGAAGCAGCAGGACCATTAAGATAGACAGAAAATTAGTATCATCTGGTAACGATCTATACAAAAAGACATCAGGGAATATGGTTTTTATGAGATTCACACACATATTAGTTTATTTGACTTTATTGTTGTTGAAAATATGAATAACATAACACACTAATTCAAGAAGTTTTACATGTATGATTCAATTACAATTGAGAATATTTACATGTGCTATTCAGTCACAGTTTGTGCAAGTGTTCCCAGCTTCCTTTACCTAATTGTTCTTCTACCGTTAGCATAGACATACTACCTTCTAAAGTTCCTACTTCATCTTTGGAGTTGCTTTCTGTCAATTTGACCCCATATGGACAGTTCAAAGACCCATTCATTTTTACATTTTCACATACATTTATATTCTGCTATGCCTAATGACATTTCCTTCACACATAGAAATGAAACAGATAATCTTTAAGATTAAATACACATGTTCTAATTTTCAAGAATTTCTGAAAAAGATTTGTTATTCAGAATACCATATGACAGTGAAGACAATAAGACTGCATATCATATATTTTCGATTAGTCACTGGAGAAGCACATCACGGTTGATAAATAAGAAGGTCAGCAAAAAATGTATTTACCCAGTCAATACCTGTAGGAATAGCCTCAAACAGTTATCCTTAAGGTGACAAATTTGCATTTTATCTATTTTCTACTATCTCTCTTATTATCGCAATATCCACTGGAAACAATGATAAATAATATCAGAATTAGTTTAGAATATCAGAATGAAAACAACAACCACAAAAAAGCACAGCCTCTGATTCAGAAACATGGACCTCTTCAAACATACATTAGTACTACATAGGATGGATGATCTGATGGAGTGAATTCAATTGACCTGGAAAAATCAAACGGATTGTCTATTGGATTGTGATAAGAGTTGTATGATCCCCTGATAAAATGATTAGGGGAAAAAAAGTAGAACTTAAGACCAAAGAGAGTTGATTGCAATGCATTTGCAGATTCTTGCAAGTTTGCATAGCTGTAATTGTATAGGAGTGAAGATGTATGTATGTATGTATGTATGTATGTAGTATGGCCAGCGGGGCAGAATTGAACTTACAGTAAAAGATTGAAGCAAACTTATCCATACATATCTAAATTATTCTGACACTGTTTCTAGTTGAAATACAAAAAATTATGATAGACATTCATCTTATGTGGTACGTAGAAAAAATATGCTCACTCACTCCCTTATACATGATTGGCAGCTATACAATAATAAGCATCATTGTCTTGGACGTCTCTACAGATTCAGTTCTATTATTGAATATGTCATCTTACTCTCATTTTATCATTTGTTTTGTGAGGTAATTTTGATTCTCCACAGCTTTCTCATGGCATTCTTTACTTCCGCATTCCTTAATGTGTAGATGAGAGGGTTGAGAAAAGGTGTACCGATGGTATAAAAGAGTGTTACCATTTTGTCCATAGAGAAAGTGGTTGCTGGACGTGTATAGACGAATATACATGGGCCAAATGATATGACGACTACAATGATGTGAGAGGTGCAGGTGGAAAGAGCTTTCTTCCTCCCTTCTGCACTGTGGTTTCTCAGTGAATGCAAGATAACAAAGTATGAGATTATCAAAAGCAAGAAACTAGTTGAACAAAGAGCCCCACTATTGAACACCAATAGGAGGTTGATCTCATAAGTGTCCATACAGGCAAGTTTCAACAAGGGTTGCAAATCACAGCAGTAATGATCGATCAAATTTGGTCCACAAAAAGGCAGTTTCAAGGCCAGGGCAATCTGAGCTATAGAATGTATAAAAGAACCGATCCAGGCAAAAATAATCAAGATGATGCAGACCTGTCTTCTCATGATGGTCGGGTAACGCAGAGGCTTACAGATGGCCACGTAGCGATCAGCAGCCATGAAGATGAGGACAAAGATCTCCATGCAGCCAAATAAATGCAGTGCAAAGACCTGAGTCATGCACTCATTGTAGGATATGACTTTCTTTGCAGAGAGAGCATCTGCAATTAGTCTTGGGGCGGTGGATGTTGAAAAGCAAGCCTCAACTAAGGACAAATAAAATAGGAAGAAGTACATTGGACTCCCAAGAGTTCGACTGAACTTGATGGTCATAATAATGAGCAAATTTCCCACCATAGTTCCCGTGTAGTAAATTAAGAAAATGATGAACACCATTTTCTGCTTCACAGGATCCTGTGTCAGTCCTAACAGTATGAATTCAGTGATGCTTTTATTTTGATGCATTGTTTCAGGCGATGTAGTGAAAGTAGAGGCGAGGAATAGTTCATCTGAAAAGAAGACATAGAGAGTCTTATGCAATGAATACTGTGCTTGTCGTTCAAATTCCTATGCCTCATTATGGAACTGCCACTTACTTTGGGGTAATTACTTACATCTTTGTTTCTTGTTTGTGAATAAAGCGAACTTCTGATACTTCTATATTTAAGTTGCTACAAAAGAGTTTGTAATAGGAAAATCATGAAAAAGTAAAGGACTCTCTCAACAATCAATATTAATATTAAGTATTTGACATGAGTGGATCATTTCCTGAGTTTGATGTGTATTTTCAGTTTCCCACGAGCATCTTGCAGAGTTCGTGTGCTGAAAAAAAATAGAGAAAATTTGAATGTGACTTACTTCAAGTGTCTTTCATAGTTTGCGCCTGGTCGTTCAGTTATAAGATTTTATCCTACCATGTAGTCAAAAGTTAATCTTCAGCTTATTCAGGTTTTTCCTGTTTGTTTTTTTTAACATATTTTCTTAGGAAAGAGGAAAACACTAAGGCTGTAGTTAAAGGAAAAGGAGAGGAGTATTAGCTATATATCAGGATATCTTTTTGTATTTCAAGTTCACAGCTTCTACAATAAGGATCTCAAAAAGCTCTAAATTATAGCAAAAGACTCTCAGTGTAATTCTTGTTGCATATGTTCTTTATTTCTTATATCCTAACTTTAATTAAGAGAAGTAGAAATAAAAAGGAAACTTGTACTATTCATTTTATCAAACTACATGCCTGACCCAGGTGAAGATTTTTAAAATGCCTCATATGCCTGGACAACGAATACACTGGAAAATGAAGCAGTAGACTGAAGAAGACTTGAGGCATTTTAACTAGGGTGTTGTTGAAGAATATTGGGTAGATTATGGACTGCCAGAAGAACAAGTAAAATTAACAATCATTAACATATAGTGCTTGCACAGCATGGAATATTGCCAATTAAATGCCGTTGTGGGTAGAAGTTTAGGTAAGTACAATCTCTGAGGGTGCTATAGACAATATATTATATTTCTGTCAGTCACTGATTCAATTTCCTTTAAATTTACTTCTAAATACAAAGGGTATCATGGCCTTTTCTGTGATAGTCGAAGATGAGAAAAACATAAATGTTCATTAGAAGGCTAATAAATGAAGTAAACCTAGTACTTTTTTCGAATTGATTTATTTTTAAAAAGCAGATATAGAGGCAAGTATCTTTAAAATATATTGTAAAACAAACTGTCAGAAGGCATATGCATAAACTTAGAATCAAAATATCCACAGTGAAATGAAGAAAATGTCTATCACCCATGTAAGCTTTTATGTAAATTGTGTACAAGAGTGCCAAGAAACAGTAGCTGTTGGTTCTAGAGAAAGAAACTGCATTCTAATCATCAGTGATGGAAAAAGAGTTAATTTTAGAGATACATCTGTTGGTGATATTTGAAAATATGTCTTAAGTATGGTTGACATTAAAGAAGAAAGATTTTGAAAAGTCCACGACAGGAGATAGAGAGAGTGATTAATTTATTTACAATTGCAAATCACTCAGCACTCAGCACTAACTCTTCGGAGGTGGGCAGAGATTAAAATTTGTTTGCAGTTTCTGTGAGCTAAGAGATAAAAATGAGACTGTGCCTTTCCATATGTTATGTATATGTGCTACTGTATGATATATATGTATCATTTATGTATATATATATAAAACCAAATATTTGTATGTATCTCTCTCTACATAGGCATATCCTATATATGTTGTTATTATATAACCTCACATGTATTCTAATTCATAGCTCTCTTAAGAGTAAAAGTAGACTGGAACTGTCCCATGGGGATTGCTAGGCTGTCATCTTTATGGGGGAAAGTCACCCAGTCCTTTCTACTTCACAGACGTTTGGTGGGTTCCAAACTCTAACTTTTCAATGAACAGCCAAGTCCTTAATGCTTGTCCCACACGTGCTTCTTACACACACACACACACACACACACACACACACACACACACACACACACACACACACACACGGACACAGAAGGGGGCTTCCTGTAGTTTATGGAAAAGTCACGTAATATTTAATAATATTTTTCTGCAAACCTTTTCAAGTGCCTCATACATGTATACATAAATAAGTCCCTGGTGGCACTCCCTAGTAAACAGACTGCTAACTGCTGGCTGGGAGTTCTTACCCACCAGCCTCTCTGCTGGAGAAAGATGAGGCTATTCAATGTAGTAAAGATTTATAGCTTCAGAAATCCTGTATAGCGTTATGATTGAAAAGAGGAGTTAACTGCAGTGAGATGAGCTATATATGAGTTATTCTTAGGTGCTTTTGAGCAAGTTCAGACTCTCAGTTACCTTAAGTACATGACAAAGCACTGGCCCCATCCTGCACCATCCTCACAGTATGTTTGAGCACACTGTTGCAGTGCTATTAATCCATCTCGTCCAGTATCTTCTTCTGTCTTGCTGGCTCCGTACTGTATCAGGGATGATATCTTTTTACAGGGACTGATCTCTTCTCATACATGTCCAAAATATTTGAACTCAAGTCTTTCCGTCCTTACTAACGGATATAAGGAGAGCAGGGGTGATTCTTTCTTCAAGGCGGACGACTTTCATCTTCTGGTCCCTTCAGTATTCTTCATAATACAACATAATTCAAAAGGTGCAAATTCTTCCTTAACGTTTTCAGCAATTGAAAATGCAATGCCGTCGGGGAGGCATATTTCAATCCTTAAAGAGACGTGTTTGCGTTTTTACATTTTTGTTTTATCTAGTGGTCTGTTGCAGCAGATTTTCCCAATGCAATACATTGGCTGATGCCTTGACTGCTGTTTCCATAAACAAGCATTAATTATGAAGCTAAGTGGAATGAAATCCTTGATATCTTACCATATGTAAATAAGTAATTGGGTAGCGCAAAGGGTTAAGCACTAATCACTCTAATGCTAACCTTGCAAGCTGTATGGAACACAGGTCTAATCTATACGTATGTGAATGCCACCGGTCAGAATTGATCCAATGGCAACTAGCAACCAAAACAGCAATATATAAACACACGTAGGTTAGGAGATGCACACATATTTCCTAATTAATATAACTGATGTATACCCAAGTGATATACATTAAATAAAACAATGTAAAAACAGTGATTTTTTTGTCTGCTCATAAAGAAGCTGCTTGCCTAGAAAACAGTAGTTTTAATGAATATGTGTTTAGTATATGTGCTGCCAAAGCAAGCACTAAATCTATATTTATTAAATATGTATTGAATGAGTAAAAGAATTCAGAGGCATTTGCCACACATACAATTCTACTGAGCCCCACAAGATAGTGCACTCAGTTGCCTTCGGATATGAAACCTGTAGCCTACATTACCATGACAAAATCTTCACCTTTGCAATGTTTCAGAACACTCAAAACGTCTATTTGTTTTTACTTCACCTCCATCTAACAGTAGCCCTTACCTTCTAGGGCTCACACCTTCTTCCCCCTCATATGTTCTGATTTATTAGTATCTGTTAAGGACTAGGTTTTGGTACAAAAGTTTACAAAAAATATAAGAATCATGCCATCTTTTATCTCCACATGCTACTTTAGATTATAAATCCCTTCTAGTAAAGTCCCTGCACTGCCTTCCTTCCAAATGCCCCTTCTATGTACTGTAGAGCTGTTGTAATGGTGTGGAACAGATGAGTTTTTTCCAAGTAGTAAACACAACTAAATAGTTCTACAGTAAAACCTCACCAGCCTTCATGTAGAGGGTACAACACACAGTTGCTCCCTTTCTTGCCATGTTCACATGGAAGCCACACACTCAAATGAGGAACAACAACAAAAAGAAAAAGACGGGCTTCTAAACTTTGGATTGTTCTGAACCCAGTATCTTTTTGATCTCAGATGGGTATGTTCTCCTCTGTCTACTAGAAGGCAATTTCAATTGGTCACACGATCATCCCACACGCTCTGAAACCCAACCACACACAAGATTTTGACTGTGAAATGCATCTCTTTTGCCTTCCCTGGAGGAGTATTTAACATGAATGATGCAAAATATAGGCGTCTGGGGAAGATCATTCCCTAAGTGTCCCTTTCCTCCTAATTAAGAAGCATGAGCCATTTGTGATACAGAGCTTCTCTACAATTTGTCTTCTTAGATTATGGGAGGGTTGGGTGTGGCATGTGTCCTATTATTAAAATTAAAGGTATTTTGGCCATAAATGACTTTTCCTTATAATTAAAATGATGGATTTCTAGAGTCACTACTTGGTTCCCAATACCATTCTCCAATAAGAACCACAATTCTTAGAGAAATGGTTGGGTTGTTTTTCTATGATTTAAAATAAATACTTCTTTTATTTACTGTGACAAGAATGTCAAGGGCAGCGAGATAGAGGAACTACTTGAAAGAACTCTCGGTTGTCACTGGAAAACTTTAGACAAGTCAGTAAATAATAGAGTAGTGAAATATAGCCATACTATAGGAAATATCGACTGCTCTGAGGGAGAAAGATGGGACTTTCAACTCCTATATAGAATTACTGTATCAAAAACTCTCAGAGACAGTTCTACTCTGTGAGTCAATCTCAACTATAGTCACTATGAGTCAAGGTCAACTCAGTGGTGATGAGTTTACTTTCTTTTTTATTAATAGGAAATAAAGAGATGCCCTACTGGCTTAGTGTTTACATATTGGGCTGCTAACTGCAAGGTCAGAAGTTTGAAACCACCAATAACTCTGAGGGAAAAAGATAAGACTTTCTATTCCTGTAAGGAGATACGATCTTAGAAACTCACAGGGGCAGTTCTACCCTGTCTATAGGGTCCATATTAATTGGCATGGAGTTAATGGCAGTGCCTTTTGAGTATATAGGAAATGAATATTCTAAAGTCCGATCTGATATAAGTGAGTGATGTAATCAAACAAGCAAAGAGAAAGAAGAAGCAAAGCTCCTTTCTAAAAATGCATGTGCTCTATCAGATACT